ATAACCATATATTAATATTATTTATTATCCATATGTTTTGTCATTTTCAAATTTATTATTCATATATTTTGTCATTTTCATTTAGCATGTGGTATTTCCATTAGCAAAACTGGGAATAATTAAAATATTTTTTGAAAAGGACAAAGTATTATAAAATATGGTTAATATTTTTTTGTTGGTTGTGTTTTTGGGAGTTTTGTCAAAATTGATTTCAGTTGTAAGATCAATAAATCAATCTAAACTTAAACAAATATTACAATGTCTCTAATTCAATATTTTTTAAAACCTTTTCATAAGATTGATGTATGCAGGAAAAAAGAATTGTTTTCACATTTAGCAGAATGGTTTTGCCAAAAGCATCTTCGTATATGAAAAAAACATTTAATTCTATTGATGAAATTTTAAAAATGCGTGAGGTAAAAAAGTAATAGTACAAGCCTTTAGGCATTTGATCAACATCCTATCACGTAGTCATAAATAATGTGACGTTCTGATGTAAACAGTTTGGCAATCAGATTGATAAATTCTTTATATTTATTAATCAGAGGAAGAAAGGAAACATTCCTTATCGAGAGATTTATGGTAGTGGCTGGCGAAATAAAACTTTTCTCTGAGGCATGTGCAGTAACAGGCCAAAAATAAAAATCATATTTTTATTCAAAATCATTTTTAGTCAGCGGGTCAGGAAGGGAAATGATGCGACATACTGCACATTTTTTGATATTTAATCCATGTTTATTCTCATACACTATTCAAAGAACCTAGTTCCCATAATGAATGAAAACTCTTTGTTATACATCAGTACTATCATTTTCAGTTGCCTAGTAGTTCATCACTATATTATAATTGCCATCCGAATCACCTTGAAAAGGCATTACATTTTGAACATAGGGAGAGACAAACTTGAACACTATAGTCTTAACAATTACGATCATTGCCTTATTTGCAACATACCGTACATCATGAATGTACTGTAATAGCCTAAGGTGGTAAGTTAACTTGTTACATGGATGTGTTAACAAGCATTTTTTCCAAAGTTAAGATCCAGGATCCTTTCAATTAATGTTATGTTAAAATTTAAGCTTGCATGCAACGTGCCTTGCCTATTCATTTCTTTGACACTGAAGTTATGGCAATCAGGTTCAATATAGATGATCATTATAAGGTTATCTGAAAGGTCAAGAATAAGCCAATATCGATTCCATTCAGAAATGAATATCAAAGATGACTTGCTTATTGCTTTATAGTGCTTAGCCTGTATATCTAAGACCATGGCTCAACCGCTTCAATAAAGAGGATAAGACTTAGTTTATATTATTTTATCATTTTATTTTATTAATCGCTTTAGGCCAAAGGCCAAGGGTATGCCAAGCAGCAAACTTAATCGCTATTCAAAGTGGCATATCCCTTCACAAAACAAATATAAACACAAGATGCTTTAAATAAATTCATTATGATGCTTAGGGAGTGGATTTGTCTTGGTCGTCAGAAAAAATCCTGTTACCGTGACAAGAATTGAATCAGGACCATGGGATTGGAAAGCAAGCACCTAACCACCAAGCTATTCAACTATATTCCAACTAGATCTGATGTATCTTTCTACCTTGGTTTCAATATAATTAACTTACAAATTGACTGGAATTCTATTGTATGTACGCTCCAAGTTTTAAGCATGGCATAATCTGATTTCTCAGAATTTGACATCACAGTATGATTATTTCTGAGCATTTTCTTAGCAAAATCTAAGGCCTAAGAATTTTTATAATACAGCCTGAGTCTGAATCTGAAGTCCGGGCATTTAGGACTGAGAATATTTTTAACATAATTCAACATATTTCCAATTTTATGACACAGTATTAATTAGTTTATTTTAAGCCAAAATATGAGTTCTGAGATTTGAATATATTTATAATAAAATACTTCTACCTCTATCACAATTTCCTGCACCTGGCAATGTGTAAGGATTTACCTGACGATGTTTAAAAGACATGATACAAGAGTATAGAGTTTTTGAAATGATGAGATCTCCAGTTCCTAAACCTCACATAGAATGCCATGGACTGTTGATTAATTAACACTACAGTTCAAAAGTGCATGTAGAAGGATGCTTCATTAACTTTATAATTGCTCCCATAAATTAACAAATAATTTTTAGAAATGAAGATTAAGCCCATGTTGATTACATGCACGCAAATACATGCAGAATTTGGTTCATATTGATTATGCTACATACATGTAGATTATAGGTAAGTGAAAATTTCATGCATGTATACCAAAAGCACATACATGTGAAGAGATTAGACATGTGTGTACAACATACAACATGTGCATGGTGAATACATGTATCATAAAAATGTACATTAAACACATGTATATATCCATATGTACTACATGGATTTGGAGAAAAATGCATTTGTGGAATTAAATGCAGTGAAATTAGGTACATGGTTTCCACCATGTTCTTAGAGCATGGAGGAATTAGTTTGTGACACATTGACACTTGTTTGTAAAACTTGATATTGGTTGCGACATTTAACAATTGTTGTAAAATATAGTCCAATGTTAGAAGAAATGTTTAAATGAGTAGAATGGTTAATAAAACATCAAAATATGCTATTAAAAAATTTAAAAAATGGCTAAGCAAACAGGCCACTATGTGGCCTTTTAAGTTCTGGGGTAGAAGTAGGGCAGGAAGAAGCCTTAGTGAGCGGTCTCTACCTAGCATCATCAATAGATGCTGGGAAATACGGCAGACTAATGGTAACGAGGAATTTACACAACTTGAATAAGGGTTAACATGTTTGCACAAGTAAATTAACCTTTATTTAATCAGATTAATAGGCAATCTTTACAGGCTCTGCATGGTAGTCCTGGATCTCTCGTCCAGGTACATTCCTACCATCAACAACGTCTTAATAGTCAGTTCTTAACTATGAGATGTTCTCATTACATGCTCTACAGAGTTGTGGGAATATGTATATCTCATTTAACAGTGGAGATTAGTAAAGCTGTGTACGCTAATGTCGGTATAAAAAGCAGGTCAGGAATGAACTCACTGGTTAGGCATACTGAAAGATGATGTTGATGTCAGTGATGATGACAATGATAGTGATGATGATAATAATAAATAGTGATGATGACAATGATGATCATAGTTATGATGTTGATCTTGATGGTGAGATCATTACTGATGATGATGACATAATGATGTCATACTAATAAATTTATCAAGTATTTGGTACCATTTTTTTACCAGAAAATACAAGAATCTTTAAATGTTGATAATGACAATGATGATAATAGGAAAATAACGATTTGGAAATTAAGAATGATTGTGGTCACTATGGTATACTGTATGTGGTTAGTAGAAATGATGATAATCAGGGGCAGATTAAGGGGAGGCCGGGCCTGCCCCGACCCCACCTTTTTGGAGGGTAAAAAAAAGAAAGTAAAAAAGGAAGAAAAAGAAAAAATTGATCGCCCATAACGCCTTAGAGGTTTTTTTTAGGCTTCTAGAACACAAAAATTTCCCCTAGGTTAGTATTATCTTGATCGACCCCACTTTCACCTTCCCCTTTTGGACATCTATGGATCCACCCCTGATAATGATAATAAAGATCTTGAGGATGACAGTGATAGTTGGTAAATTTAAATGATGATAATAAGAATATTCTCACAAGACAATTAATGAGAAATATCAAATAATAGCAGCTTACAGCATTAAACATATCTTGGTCATGTGACTTACAGCGCATGCTCGGGATTAATGCGGTAATTCAGTAAACGTGCACATACTTCAGCGTGAGGTGATTATATTCAACAAGAATTAGTGAATGGAAAGTAATGTGATGTAATGGCAGATAATTTAACAGCATCTATCTAACTGCAGTGAATGCAATTATCAAGCCACATTATCATAATTTGTAAAATATAAGGACTTTGATACAAGATAAAATATTACCATTTATTTTCATAATCATTATAAAAATTCACAGTAAAATATAACTCACTGTCATCAGCCCTTTGTCATCTAGCCATACACATTTTTATGTAAACATGAATGCAAGTAGACACCCCCACCCCGTATTCGATCATCAATAAATAAAAAAAAACAATTGTGTTACTCAAGGCCGATCAACGGAAATTTTGAAAACATAGGGTCATTTGTTGTACCAAAGAGGAGCCCAAATGGCCACATTTCAAGCTATATCTAATAAATGTGGTACCTTAAACACTGCTTTGGCCCGGTGATTACTAATCTATCAACCAAAATATTAATGGCGATATTAATGAAAATGATAATAAGGATGATGATGTCATAATATTGATGATGATGACGATGATGAGGACAATGATAAAAAAGATGCAATTTTCTAAACAGTAAAAACAATTCCAAACTATTTCATAGGCATACAGATAGATACATTTAGCTGGAGGAAATTACACTAAATGAAAACTGAAAAAAGTCTTCCTACGCCAGTTGAACAATGACCTGGCAGCTCACACACATCACATCCTATAATACAATGGAAAATAAATAAAGCTGAAAAAACTAAAATGAACATCCTAATGATTAATTTTTTGAGTTTGGGAAGTCAACCTGTATTCTACAGGATATTTGTGGGAGGACCCTTCAAAAAATGTCATGGATAATTTATGACATAGGTTAAGACATCTGTCTAATTTTTTAGCCATTCAACTGTAGAGGAGTCAAAAAAAAAGATTTTATAAACCCCACGCTTTGTGTACATAATTGCATTTAGCCCAGAGAGTACATTAATGGGATATGAACAACACAGGTCACGAAGATAGTGAAAGTCATCAATATTGTGGGCGGAACATGAGTAAACCATTACATGACAAGTACACTGTATAATTTATTTTTTACGTGTAGAAATACTGATAATTCTGGAAAATCATTCGGACAGAAACTATTTTACAACAACTTAATTATTAGTTATTAGTAGTTGTTAGTA